CACACTGAAGTTAGCAGTGCAATTGCAGAGATTTTTAGGGCTTTGAATTGTATTAACGACTGGGTTTTTTGCAGGAGTGGATGAAGTCAGAGTTTATTATAAGCATGCTGCTAGAACTCTAAAGAACTTGGGGGTTGAAGTGAGTAAATGGAAACAGATTATTTTACTTTGGTTTTTGTCCCCACCCCCCAGCCCACGGAGTACCCCTGCAAATGTTTTACTTGCTCAGCCAGTTTAGTTGATTAATGATTTTCTTCTTATCTCTTAGTCTTTTTTTGTAAGTGTGACATAGAAACAATTTTACAAATTTCTGTTTGTGTCATTTCAATGTTTATGGTTTTCACTACTATAAGTTCACTCTGAAAACTTGTCAAAGGTAGAAGGGACTATACAAATACCAGAGTTTGCTTTTAGTACTCAGACATGTGCAAAAAAACAGATGAAAGTGGCAGTATAAATCACCCTGACTCAAAAAGCAAGGTTTTGCTGGCAGAGAATTTGCCTGTATGCAGCAGTGAGTAAACAGCAGCTTCCTGTGCTCAGGCACAGTGAAAAAACAGTTAGCATAAGAGGAGGAAATACTGCAGGGCTCAAAATGCAGATATAAAAATCATCTCCTTTCTGCTTCATTGTTACAAAGCTCTTTCTCTTAAAAAAAAAAAAAAAGTTGGTTTAAAACTTAGTTCTGTTGAAGATAATAAGTAATCACAGCTGTTACCTCTGTATTGGGTCACTAACACAGTGGTGAGAAACAGGATGCAAGGTCTGTGCTAGCAGAATGCCTCCTCTGCTTCCAGCCAGAGTTTTGTTATCAGGAAAAAATTTAAAGGTGTGGGGGGTTTGGGGTTGGTTGGTCTTTTTGTTTGGTTGGTTTTTTAAGGCATGCCAGCCACAGCATGGGCACATCTTCAGTGGTGATCGTGTGGTGAGAAAGATGTAAACTGTCTAGAAAGGCTGACAACATTTAAAGATCCATCTTTCCCAAGGCATAACATAATCTTTGAGAAATATAATTTTTTCAAGAAAAATCTTTGCATCAGAAGCATCACAAGCTGTTAAGTAATCATACAAAATAAGTACTACAGTCAAATATGTATGAGTAGAAGTAACCCAATTTGAAAACTTATAAAAATAACTGGGTATAGTCATAAGTTCAAGGAGGTCAACAGATAAAAAAACTGCTTCCAACCATGATTATCCCTGCTGTGTATTATACAAATCTGATAGTCTAAGCTGCTTCATCTTTCCACCTCACTGACTCCTACTGACTTCTCTAGAACACAGTGTTAAATTCAGCATTCACTGTATTCAAATAACTTGGAGAACTAAAACGTCAACAAATAGGTGATAGCTCCTCTAAGTAATTGCTTAAGACCTTTCTAAGACCCTTTTGAAGTGTAAAGTGTATTATAACAGACTTAAGTTCTGAAAGAAGGGGGGGAATGCTAAATTTTCAGTCGTTGGGGTTGGGCAAAGAAAGTGCAATTAATATGTTCAGGACAGGTAGGTCTACCTTTCCTGTAAATGCAGCGAAGAAGAAAAGACAATGTGACAGAAGAAAAGGGGGAGGACAAGCTAGTCCTCTTATCCTGCCTGGAAGGCTGGAAAAGTAGGGTGGGAGAAACAAAACCCCAGGGCTCCGAGTACTGTGTTATTTTCTTTTGAGGCACTGAAATAGAGCAGTGACAGGCTTTATACAAATCTGCACAGGATTAACTGGATAGGGAATCTAGCAAAGGCAGTAGCCATGTTGTGCCAGTATTTCAAGAATAAGGACTTTGTTCTCTGCCTGGAATTCATGTAAAACCTGCACGGCAGTTCAGTTTGCTGGTGGTTGCTGGCGGGGATCCCAGGCGGTTTCTGTGCTGGAGACCGGGGGAAGGGAGAGTCAGAGGAAAAGGAGCAAGTCCCAGCCCGCTTCCTCCCACGCGTCTTAGGGGATCAGGACTGCTCAGTGCACGAAGGAGCAAGAGGGATTTCAGAGCAAGAAGAATAATTGAGACGAGGGTTTGTTTTCCACATCGTTAAAAGGGGTTGGCCTTTTTTATTATTCTTGATCACTTATTGTGGTATACTAGCTTACAGAGGGAATTACTATCTGATGTTTTCCTGGATTTCTGTAAGTAACTCTGCTGATTTCTAGAGGCTGATGTTAGATTTATGGATTAAGTCATTTTTTTTCATTTAACAGCTAAGGAAACTGGACAAGGCCTAGGGCCCAGTACTGCGTTCATGACACTCCTAGCGATGTCAGTAAGAGCTCTGCTTTCAGAAGGAATCAGCCCCTAACACAAAAAGGTGAATATGCATATTTAAGTTGTTGTGTGGTTTTGTTTTGTTTTTAAAACAAGTTTGATTTTTTTTTTTTTCCCCGCCCTTCAGTAAGGTTAGTGTTCCTAAAATGGCTTGCAGTAAATCAGGAAGCACTAATTTTAATCATGCTGCTGCCAGTGATATGAACACCCCAATATCTTTAATACTACCACTGCAACTCCCCGGTTCAAAATTCACAGCTTTCCTAAGGGGCTGTACAAAGTCTCTGTCTATGTACGAATGTGCCTGCTGGGACCAGCTGGCTGTGCTGCATGAACTGCAGGGGGAGAAAGCAGAAGGCTGCAGAGCTGTCGTACCAGCTTGGAAAGCTTATCAAGGCCCAAAGGAAATCAAGGTATTTCTTAGATGTCCAGATCTGTCTAGTTCCTTTGTTCCACTACAGCTCACAAGGGCTGTGATGATCCTCAGCTATTCAGCGTAGGCTGCAAATATTTTCATTGCAATAGTTTTGGCTTAATCATGTAACCCAAGCCCTTTAAACACAACGCTGCCTACCAGTTGCTGGGAAGGCAGAGCTCTGCCTCCATTGTTAAAGCAACCTACAGACATTCCCATTATAGGTAAAGACCAGAGCCGTTGCTAGTTCTTCCTTCTCGCCGGTTAATGCCTTCATGCACTTGCCTGATCACCACCTCAGCTCTGTCCTATGGGGCCATAGTTCATCGTGGCTTCGGGAGAACTGCTGTCAGGCTGTGATTCTGAGGCACCACTACCATACGAATAAAAGATTTGAGATCCTCGTAGTCCTTTGCTTCATATAAAAGCAGGCTGTATTACAAAGCATGATATTAGGCTTCTGCATGTGCATTTGCAGTGAGGTCTTGCTTCAAACAGCCAATGCTTTGGGTCAGAGGGATCTTGCTGCTTCCCCATTAATCCCTGACTCAGCCAGTGGGCAGGGAGGATGAGCTCTCAGTACTGCCTTTCAGGATCTTATCAATAGAGAGGGGAAGCGTCATCAACCCTACAGAAAATTCCACAACTAACAGAGATCAAGTTTTTGGGTTTGGTTTGGTTTTTTTTCCTTATTTCCCATATGATCTCAGCCATAGCCAAACAAGCACCTAGATGTTACTTGGAAAAATCATCAACAGACACCAGGTTCTGACTCTCTTTATGCTATTTTCCTGGTCAGAAGAACAGCATCTACAATTTTTTTAACCTGTGGCTCATCCTTTGAAATGCATAGGGCAGGATTATACTCTGCTCTGGCCAGTTTCATATCCCACAGACATTCAAGGTAACTGTAATGCTTATGTACCAAAAAAGGCAGAAAAAAATTCTCTCAGAAAATGCTATATTTTCACACTGGAGAACATGCTGATTTTGGAGAAAAAACCCCCCACAAGTCTTTCATCAGTCAAGATGGAACCTTTCAGTTCTCTGTGTTTAGAAGTGACTTTATATTTACAAACATGCTTTTAGTTGTTATAGAAAGTAAATATTCTTATTGGCTTCAATCTGTTCCTTAATAGAGCTGACATCTTTGTTCTTGTGCTGATTTGAAACAAAGAAGTGTGGAAAAGTAGGGATTTTGCATGGATGGGATATTTCAGATTTTTATCTCTTTTCACAGTGAAGGAATGAATGTCATCTCTAATTTACTTCAGGGTACACCACAAAGATGAGCGTGTATGCCAGTCCCCGATGGAGCTGGTTTGCCATGTACTTCTGCATGACTATTTACCTGATTCCAGTGCAACGTTTTCTGCAGATCCCTTAGCCTGTGGCCATTCATAAGGAAAAGGAGTGGATTTCCCAAGCCATTCTTTGTCCAAAGCGACTAGGTGTGCTCTCTCTTTCAGCAAGTATAGGAAATTGCTTCCACTCATAAAATTTGCCTTGCCAGAAAAAAAAAAATAATTAGAAACCGAAAGGTTATTTCTAGGTTTTTAAAGTCCAGGTTGACAACTAGACTTGGCAGGTAGAAAAACTGGCTTGTTAAATTTATAAATGGCATTAAGCTTTGGAGTCATTTAAGGAAATAATCATAATCATATTTATATTTCTGGACAGTTTTTAGTAACATTCAGACAGAAACACCTCCTCGAATGTACTAGATGGCATCCAAACCTAAGAACATTACAGTCCCTTCAGGACGGCTTTTCTTTGAGGTGTTTTTTGTAGTTTCAAAGCTCACAGTAAAGGTTAATTTCTTTTCCTGGACCTTCAAGATAATTTGAGGTTAAGTAAAAGTGAGATACTAGTTTTAATTATCATTACCTCAGTTGTAAAATAGTGAAACCCTTCCTATCAATGAACACCAACAGTTCTGTGCATGTATTGAGTAATTTGCGCCTTTAACACTTGTTTAAAGCCATGGGCATTTAGCCTTTTTCCAAACTTACTGGCGGCTGGGAACAGGCCAGATCTGGCAAAACTGGGTGCTGTGCGGCCTGACCTTCCCTATCCTCGGCAGTGGTCTTTCTGCCTTGCAGTGTCAGTTCAGCGGGGCTCTACACGCACGCGTTCGGGAAGGTAGGGACTGTCTAATCAAGCCCTCGTAGTTCAGCCCACCTCTTTTGTAGCCAGCGGTGGGCAGTGGCAATATGATTGCAGTAATGCAGGGCAGTTAATGACCAACCTCACAGACAAGATCACCAGAGATATTGGGCTCTGATTTTTTTTTTCTTTTTTTTTTTCCACCAGAATTTACGTGACCAACTATGTACCTGTTTCACACAAGGGAAAACCATGAAGTTTACCAGGGAAAACAATGGTAAGAAAAGATATTTGCTGAGGGTCTTTCCTGGCTGTTAAGTGTTGTGATTAAGAAAATGTAAACAGATCTCTCTCTTCCCCCCCCAACCTCATTGAGAATCGAAGAGCAGCTAATACAGGTTTACATCTATTGGTATTTCAAGGCCTTTTACCCTACTTTTATAGGACATGGAGGTTTAGGAGTATACGTAACATATAGTATAGTACGTTTACTATGCATTTATCATATTGCAGTGTCTATTAATGAACTAGCAGCCAGTAGATATGTTCTAGCATATGTATTTCACTTCAGGTGAACACCTGTAAGCTGCCTCTTGCAAACACCTTCAGCAACTAAGACGTGCTGAGATATTCTTAGGGTCTTCTAGGGTGATAACCAAGTTTAAGCCCATTGCTGCAACCTTCATTTTGCAGATGGTCCCACAGCTGAAGCAGCACTTTCCAGATGCTGTGTGTAGCACTGGGTACAATGGATGCAACAGTCAATCCATGGCCATCATGACCAGCATGCCTCCACACCAACCACCACCACGCTCCTGTCCCACTCGTTCCAGGAGCCTTTAACAGGAGTGTCCTACACCCCCGTACTAAGGGGTACCTCAGGAGACTTGCAAGCATCCAACCGCTCATTCTACTGCAAACATCTGCTGAGATCAGTGCAAACCTCAATAAAGGAATGCACACACAAAATTCCTGTGTGAATAAAAAAAAAAAAAAAATAATTAGTGGTTTTAGAAAACTCAAGAACTTTTGTAAATATTCTGGAGCTCCATCTGCTGGCAGTATTTGGTAGCTGTTTGCATCTATAAGGAGTCCTCATAAATCTTTAAGAATAATAGTTTAAAGTCTATTCTAAAGCTTAAAAATGTTTTTGTAATATTACCTCTTTACTTTTAATTTCAGGAGCTGCCTAAATATTTGGCTAATTTTATGCTTGTTTCCAAGAACCTGTGTATCAAATCCTTCAAAACCCAATTTTTTATTGATACTGGCTGATGATCTTGGTATTGGAGATATGGGTTGCTATGGCAATGATACAATAAGGTAAGAATGTATTCTACGAAATAAATTGTCCCTTCCTGGTGAACTTCAGTGGAAAAAACACTGATGACACTTAAACTAATCCATTAATAATGAATTTTCTAATATTATCTAGATACACTTCTTTTCAAACCATGTATAAAATAAATGTTCTACGGTAATTCAGACTGGAGTAATAATTATACAGGCATGCTTGAGCAACTTTCTTGGACTTCTAATGCAGTCAGAACTTTGTGAATGTGTCTGTGCGCTGTATTTGTCAGGCATGTGTATAATTTATAAATGTCCACAACTCCAGGGTTGAAATATGAAGGACTAATATCAGCTAACAATTCTAGTAGGTTTCTTATGAAATGACATCTTAGTCTATGTGATATATTTATCCCTAGTGCAGTTTATCAATCTGTATATAGATTGATTGATAGAATGATTGTGTATATATATGCTGTGTTTACTCAACTTATTATAGTCTTGGAAATTGTGCTGTACTGTATCTATTAATGGAACCTTTTTCACTATGCTGCATGAGCTTTTGATGTGGGATAGACCTGAAATACCTTTCCTTTTATTGTTCTTGGTCTTTTTTCTTTTTAGTTATTAATAAAAACACAGGTATCCATGGAAAATTCATTCCTAAGGAGTTAAGGTATCTCAAAAAATATATAACACAGAGCTTTCCTAGTTGAGTTGTAGATAAACAAAGATTTTTGTAAATTTGATAATGATATCCTAGATGAAACTAGGAGGATTGGGATACCATGAACTTCTGTGTAATACATTTTATCAGAGATGGGATTTTTGTCTTTAGGACCCCTAACATTGATGGCCTGGCAAAGGATGGAGTGAGACTTACTCAGCACATTGCTGCAGCTGCTGTCTGTACTCCAAGCAGAGCAGCTTTCCTGACTGGCAGATACCCCATCAGATCAGGTTGGGCCTCTCTCAATGGTTCACTGCAGTTTGTCTAGCCATTATTGCTATTAAAAATCCTCTTAAATCATTTTAAAGATTAGTTAATCTAAGGATTTGGGGTCTCAGTGAGATGGGCAAAAATAAAGGTGACTAGATTTAGTGACTGATTTCTATGGGAAAATCCCCACATAAAGCACATTTAATGTGGCTAAATGACAGCACAGAAATGGATGAAAATCCAAACAGCACAAAGCAGCCAGAGGTAGAAACATGAAGAAAATTGCATAAACACTTTATATTCAGTGGTATTAAGATCACATTAAGTGTAATATTTTTAATATCCTGGCAAACTTTTTCAAAGTGAAATATGTCAGACTGTGGAATAGTTCTCAACAATAATGTTGTTTAAAACATTTAAATCACACAGATTTACTTCAGCTGTGTAAATTAATGATAGAAAACTTCAGCCACTGCATACAGCAGTAATAACCAGTGTAGCTCCTCTGATGTCATTCTGACTTGCTAAAGAAGAAATGTAATCATGAACTGTACATTTCAGAAGTGTGTACCCCGACTCTGTAAGCCTTTTGTTCTACAAAAAAAAAAAAATCTTTCTCCCCGCCCTCCTTTTTTTTAACATTATATCGATAGAGCTTTGGTTGTAAGAGGTTGCCTGATGTCCAAACATCGGCATCTCAGTTCCATTTGTAGACACGCCAGCATAGCTGAGGCATTGGCATTGGACTAGCAGATGGCATGGGACTTGGAGGAGACATCCTTCTAGGGGTCAATCAGAATATCCCAGGGCATACTAAATGGCTTATAAAAAGGCACTAGGCTTAGGCAACTGAGTCCCATTCATTAGAAAGAACAATTTGAGAAGACTGAAAATCTGAAATCTGGCTTGGTTTATTTTAAAGACTGTCACTCCTCTCTAGGCATGGCATCCGGCACTCAACGGCAGGTTCTTTTTTGGAACGGGTGTTCTGGTGGGCTCCCACCAAATGAAACTACTTTCGCCAGAATACTGCAGCAGCAAGGTTATTCTACAGCACTTGTAGGTATGAGACATAGCAACTTGCTGCCTTTTCATTGCTTGTTATTCAAATAAGGCTGCTTCTGTAGGATCAGTTAAACTGGAGTTTCTTGTATGCGTAACTTTCAGAATCAGCAGGGTTTTTTAGAATGTCATCCACAAGCCCCAATGTCAGCATAGGGTATCTAATAAATCCAAAATGAGGATCTATAGAATACATAGGTGTACACTGCAAACAGAAGTAAATGCAAAGGAAAGAATCTTGTTTGCCCAGTAGAGGTTGTGTTAGGAAGAACCAACAGAGATATTCACTGATCCATTAGAACAGGAAAATGTTGTCTGCCAGCTGGTACCCAGACACCACAGTGGTCTTGATTACATCTGGTGGCTAGATTTTCTGTTATTTATGCAGCCTGCTTATTATCACAGTTAAGATCCTAAAAGTGCCTTCATTTTCTGCAAAAGCAACTCTGCAAAAAAGCTGAGATAGTCCCACTGACTTCAGTGGGTTTTGAATCAGAATACATGTTCAAGAAAATCCTACTAACTCTGCTAATTTTGCCTGAACAGCAATTAAAGGATGTGTCTTTCAAGTACCCCCCATTTTTAAACTCTTTTGATGTAGTCAAAGGTTTCGTGTGCTTAATTGTAATTACTGTGATTTTCACACCTCTGCTTAGCTGTGGCACACTGAAGTGTCATTTAGTTCCTAAATTGAAGTGAGTCTTGGTGATGTACCGACTGCACACAAGCCTGTGTAAGGGGATGAACTTTCCCCAGCTCACTGCAGTCTGGTATGGCTTATACTGTAAACTACATTCATATACATGAGCACAGAACTGGTTAGCAGTTCTCAAAAGTTAACTTGTCTAGCTAATGGCCCCTAAGCCCATGGCTATAGACTGTCTGTCCTTCGATGTCAGGATAATTACACTGCTCTGTAATATGACTTCATTAAGGTTATCAGTATATGACATACTCTGATATGTCCAATTGTACTTGATAATTGCAATGGCCTATTTTTGCTACTCATTTTAGGATTAATATAGACACACAGAGCCAGTATGTACACCTTCTTCCCAAAATTTGTTCTTGGACTGTGAAGGTCCGATAGAACTTGTGTGTAAATTAGTTCATAGTTTTGCATTTGGCTGTTTCTTTTGGCACAAGGGTTTTTCCAGTTTCTCCCCATCAGGCTACCTATTAATGAATGGCTACCTTATATGAAGAATAATAAGCACCAACTATTGCAACCCTATTTGTTCTTATTCAGCGAGGCATCCGAGTTGGACCATTGTCCTACGTGGAATTTTAACAGATAGGTGAGGAAAACCAGCTGTTTAAGGCAGATAAAGTGCCAATGCATGATCACTCCCTGATAGTCTGTCCCCATTCCACACCAGCTCCTCCCTTGGCTGCACCTTAACTGAGGAGTGCAGCCAACCTATTAGAAATACAGGCACCAAAGACTAACAATGTTGGATTTAAGATCTTTGTTTTATGTTTCCAGGGAAGTGGCATATGGGTGTGAACTGCAAATCCCGCCATGATCACTGCCACCATCCTTTAAATCATGGCTTTGATTATTTTTACGGCATGCCTTTTACCCTTTTGAATGAGTGTCAAGGCACAGATGACCCTGAACTGGCCAAGTCTTTGCAAGATACTTATTGGCTCTACACACAGGTGATCATCCTTGCTGTGCTTACTCTTTTGATTGGAAAACTTACCAATTTATTCTCAGTAAAATGGAAAATACTCATATGTCTGGCTATCTGTGGTCTCCTGTATTTCATCTCCTGGTTCTCCAGCTATGGCTTCACCAAGTACTGGAACTGTATCCTGATGAGAAACCATGGTATCACTGAACAACCAATGAATCTAGAAAAAACTACTTCTAATATGCTGAAGGAGGCAGTTTCATTCATTGAAAGGTAACCAACAAAAAATTTATTGCATTTCAAGGATTTTAAAAAATAATGTGATTACTGTGTCAGAGACCACTGGGTTAGGCAGCTGGCATGCTGAACTGCCTGTCCTGATGCTGGCCAGCAAATTGTTCTTTTCTGGCATCCCCCTACCTGTCAGCATCCAACTGCTGTCCTTTGTCTTCTACAAAACTTGTCAGCTCATCAGGTAAAGGATGATGATTTTTTTTGTGTGTGTTTATGTTATGTTAACCTGATGCAAAGGGGTCCTGGCCAAGGACTGGGCCTTCTGCCAGTAGGAACAGAAAAATTGTCTTAGCCTGATGAATGGACTGTCATAAGAAGTGTCATATGGAGTTAATATTTTGCAAACAGGGTGATAGTGAGTTTTGTTTTGTTCTCCAAGGGTGTCCTTCATTTAAAATACTATCAGTAGCCTCAACTGGCATTGAACAAGCCACTAAGTCTTTAAAAGTATTCATGTGTTAAGTCTGGGCATATCCCTGAATAAGATTATACTATTCTTGTCAGGGTTTTTTTAAGGGAAATTGGGGGTAAGATAGATACCTTCTGTAAAACTTTGAGCATAGGACATCCTGCCTGGCCTGTGGCTGCAGTGTCATATTTGCCTCTTCCATGAGGATGTCTCAGATGTTCAGTGACATCCATGTTAATTTTAAGCAAGCGAGTCCTATTCTCCTTGCCTCTGAGAGTGTGTCAGTATTTTGGCCGTGAACTTTCTTAGTTATTTATTTGATTTTCTACACATGTCTAGTTTGGATCCAGAAAAAGAAAGGGCCCATTACTATTTTGGTCTTAATACAGAACCAAAATCTTTGAGGGGGTGTTTTAATCCTCTCTGTCTCCCAAAACCTCAAAAATGCAAAGATGTCAAAATCAAGAATTTTTGGTTTAGACCACAATAATAACTTTTATGGAGATAGTCACTACAACACCACTGTTCTATTTCAGGTTGACTGACAGTTTACAGAGAGATAACTATTGTTTTCTTTTATTTCAGAAACAAGCATAGGCCATTTCTTCTCTTTGTTTCCCTTTTACATGTTCACACCCCTCTCATTACCACAGAGAAGTTTCGGGGAAGAAGCAGACATGGCCTGTATGGAGATAATGTAGAGGAAATGGACTGGATGGTGGGTAAGTGGTGGTCTTGAAGAAAATCCATCATTTATTTGAATGTAGAGAAGGAATTAAAGGGGTGGTCACAGAACTCCCTTTTTGCATATGTAAAAAATGAACTTGCCTTGGATATGCAGTTAGCTCCAGAGATTGCCATACCATTACTGCACCTCTTTTTTTTTTTTTTTTTTTTTTTTTTTAAAATGAAAGCTCTAACCTTTCTTGTAAGGATTTGTTCTTTTTCTTTTTTAATCACCACACTTCTGTGCTGCAGTGTTAAATGCAGTCAAATAATCAAATGTGTGCTTGATCATGTTGTCAATCAAAATGTATAACATTTCTCCAGCTCTGTCTAGTCTCAGAAGATATAAGTGGTGCTGCTGCTGAATATTACGTTATATGCTGGTTGTTTTATGTACTTGCTCATTTTTGTCAAATAATAATCCTTGGAGCAGAAACCAGAACTTCTTCCTAGCGCAAAGGCCAAGTTTAAAAGTTATGGAGTTTCACTTAATAAATTGTGTGAAGTCACCACATCATGAAGACTCACTTAGGTCTAAATCTAGGTTCCAAGCGCCAGTTAGGTCTTTAAACCTAAGCCTTACTTAGTTGCTCCTTTCTGCTTCAATGGGAGGGAGGGAGATAGCTACTGTTTGTATTTAGTCAAAAGTGAAGACCCTACTGACAAAGTATTCACCTCCTGCCCAGGCCAATATTCAATCCCTGAACCTTTTCTTCTTCCAGTAACCATGTTTACAAAATTGTATTCTGAGAGGAGCCTGATTGCTTTTGATGGGCAGGCTGAGAACTCCTGCAAGATCCAGTTGAACCAGAGGACTCTGCCATGCTCCTCTTCCAAACTTTTGGTACCAGTCACCTTCAGGCACAGGCTGCTATCCAGCTGTGCTCATGTAGAAGTCCGATAGTGTAAGGAACATGCCGTGTATAGGCCAAACAGGATGGCAGCTAGTAAGGACAGAAGTCTCCAGGGTTGGACATCTAACTAAGAGATTCGGGGTCTAATTCAGAACCAATAAGCCTAGACTCAATCTAAACTCTTTTGGGGGGAAGGTGTCTATTTTTGGTTAAGGTCAATAAGTACTTTGACCAAGGAGACAGAGGAAGTCTGTAAAGGAGAAGAGATTGAGCAGAAGAGCTAATCACTGGCTTATACTTTTTCCTTGTGTACTTCAGCTTTTGCTGCTGCTTCTGTAGCTATGGAAGCTGGTTTTGGTGAATACATTTGATGCATCAGGTAATGAGGACAAGCAATCAAAGATAAATCACATTCTGTATAAATATTTGATGCTATCAGTACTGAAAACATTCCTTATGAAGTTAGGTTTGAATTACAGTCTGTGAAGCTTTTAGCACTGTCATCAGGAGATTTTGGTTGATAGTATGCAGCCTGATCTCGGAGTCCTTGTTCAGTTCCTGGTGAGACACAGCAGTTTTCTATGATTAGGAATCTAGGCAGCATGATTATTTAAGCTTTTCAAGATGTCTGAGGCTACACAATGGAGACAATCCTTGACTCAGAAAATTTACAGCAAAAAGCTGACTGTATTCTGAGTAGCTTGAATAAAAGAATCGTTCATTTAAATTATTTTCCAGTTGGTTTTATTTTTTTATTTTCCTTTTTTATAGACACTACAAACAAATTTTGGACACATTCAGCAGCTTTATGTTGGGCTTTTATTATTTCTGTAATGCAGGAGTACTCTTTGCATTGCTTGTGGTAGCTCATAACAGAACTCATTCAGGTAAATGGAAAGATTCAGTCTTCACTGAATTTTGAGTCAAGACCTAAAAAAATCTGACTGCATCTCCGGACATAATTATGATTTTTTGCTTTGTTTATAGGCAGGCTTCTGGATGTTATTGACAAAGAAGGCTTGAAAAATAACACATTCATTTATTTTGCATCTGATCATGGAGGATCCTTAGAGGCTCACAGAGGAAATGCTCAGTTGGGTGGATGGAATGGGATCTATAAAGGTAAAATTTTGGTAGCGTCTACATGCATAAGACTTCCTCTTAAAAAGAAAATGATAGAGTAAAATACATCCAGATAGACTATATTTACTAAGATATATGCTGGGATGATAATCCTGGATTGTAGGGCTGGAGCAAATTCAGGGCATCAGCTATTCATCTTTCAGCCCCCAGACAGGATCACTTTCACCAAAGCTACCCCTGACAGCTTTATTGTCTAACCTATCCTTAAAGACCTCTAATGATTCCACAGATAATCCAGTTTTGATTGTCTGTCCTACTGGAGAATTTTTCCTGGTACTTACCTTTGATTTCCTTGCTGCAGTTTAAGCAACAGATCTTGCCCTGTTCACCAATCTACAGAGAAGATATTCTTCCTTTCCTCCTTGCAACAGCCTGTTGTTGCAAGGTCATTATGTGTTTCAATGCTATTATGTTCCCCCTCGTTCTTCCTTTCTTTAGACTCCAGAATGGTTGTACCTCCTTCTAGTTCCATGTTGTCTTTAAATATCATAAGCGTACTATCTACTCCATAACTCAAAGCACTGCTTGGAATTGTTGTAGTTTCATAGAATATCTGAAGTGGGAAGGGGCCCATAAGGATCATTGAGTCCAACTCCCTGCTTCTCACAGGACTACCTAAAACTAAACCATATGACTAAAAGCATCATCCAGATGTTCCTTGAACTCTGACAGGCTTGGTGCTGTGACCACTTCCCTGGTGAACATGTTCCAGTGACCGACCACCCTCTCAGTGAAGAACCTTTTCCTAATGTCCAATCTGAACTTCCCCTGACGCAGACCCAGAACACACTGCTTGGAGTCTCACTTGAAACAGCCTTCTGTTTTTCACGGTAGACCATTATCTATGTCAACACTGGCAGATATCATGATGACTATTTTCTTGATATAGTTTTCCAGTTTGTCATCTATCATATAGAATGAGAGTCTAGAAACATCTATGACTGGCTTGCAACACAGTGTCAAAAGGTCTATGGAAATGAAGATCTATCATATCTCTTGTATGTGCTCCCTCCAGACTGCCAAGCCCCAAAAAGCCACGGTGGCAGCTTGGCACTTACTGTATAATGAAGCCGGAAAACTGCTCCTGTCACTTATTTCCCTACGGAAGAAGATTCAGGTGCCTTGACCTCGCTCAGCATCAAAATGCACATTGTAGTAGTAAGTTACTTGATGAGCCACACAAGCTATGTTTGATACAGCTTGGATCTCATCCAGGAATAATCCTAAATGCTAAATTAGCTTTCAGTTATGGATATGAAGTTTTCATACCAGTAACAGATGCAAAAAGGCCAACAGGCTCACTTGAATAGCTCAGAACCTAACTCAAGGAATTCAATTCTATTAGCCTAACACAAGTATATTAGTAACAGGAGAGTCCAGAGAGGAAACCTGGATGTCACTAGGCAGAGATTTCAGTATGAGAGGGCAATGATGAAATCATGCCTACTTAGAGAGGACACAAGAGGAGATAGAATTTCAATTTAGATATTAATAACAGAAAGGCATTCCCATATATGTCCACATACAGAACAGGGGGCATCCCACTGAAACTAACTAGCAACGACTCAAAAAAGATTAAAAAATTCAGTTTAATTCCTAAGTATCTGTAGAACTCGCTGCTGCTGCTAACAGGATATTATAAACAAGAAGATAAGATAAGCCACGCATATGAATAATGAGAACAGCCACTAGTGCATAACAAAGCATGAGATACTGTTATCTTACATAGCACAAAGATTATTGCACAAGCAGCTGGACTTGCCCTGTTTATAATCCATCACACCACCCTGGCAGCCTTTAAAACTAAGCTCTGGGAACCTTGCCTCTCAGCTGTAACTATGAGAACATCTCCTCCATAGCAAAGTCCAGTGTTACTTAGCAAAGCCAACGGCTAGTATAAACCACTGTTCAACTGCTCATTTATTAGCTGAGCTAATAAACTAGCTTCAAGTTTTGTTTGCCAATTTGCCTACAATGCTTTCCAGCAATGACTCCTTGATAGGAGGAATAACAGAGCAAAGGTCATGTAGGTACCTGAGCTTCAACATTCTGCAATTTTTGTTTTCCAACTGGACCCTCAACTTGGAGTTCTGGCTTTAAAACACTTTATTTCATCAATATCCTTGACATCTATAATTCATATCTGTAATTAGTTAATGGTTCTCGCTTTGAAATACTATTCAAAACAATTAATATTTTGACTTGCAAGAGAGCCAATACATGGAGCACAGAATTTAGAAGATGACTAAGGAATGCAAGAGAAACCAAGTTAAGAAAGACTCTTCAGATTACCTCAAGACAACTTCAACAGAAATGTAGGTGGAAAGTCTTCATCACTGTGGCATATTCAGAGCACTCCCCTATTTACTGCATGGGTTCTGCACCCTTCCATTGCGGACCACCTCAGTGGTTCCCTGGGACTGTAAACTCCTGGAGGGTGATCAAACATTATCCTAATTCCCCTCACTGCTCTCCAGGACTGCAAATCATTTCATAATGTTCCTGCTGCCTCTGATTGTGAACTGTCTGACAACCAAGCTGGCCCTGTGTTAATCCCCCTTCCTCAGACATCAAGTGGGGCTGCAATGTATATTCCACTGACACCAAGTTAGGTTTTGCTTTTTATTAATAGACTTTTTTCTTGGGCTTGTTATTAGGGAATGTGGAGATTATTCTCAGATATGACATTCAATTAACATTATGGGTTAGAATGTCAGAGGGTGGAATTGTTTCTCTTCTGCCAAAAATGCTGCTTAGTAGTGGGTTGCTATATGTGCCACCCAAGAAAGCAGTGTAAAATAAAGAGGTTAATAATACTTATTTTTGAAAGTAGAATTTGCACTGGAGTCATTCTACTGTTCTCCAGGATTTAATGTGTTTTCATTAAAGTTGTTTGAATATTCTAAAAGTTTTAAAACCTTTTATTATATATCCATGATAAACATCTAATATCTTTCATTCTTTTATCTTTTTTGGTACTCTCTCCTCCAACAGGTGGAAAAGGAATGGGAGGCTGGGAAGGAGGGATCCGTGTCCCAGGAATAGTTAGATGGCCAGGAATGTTGCCTGCAGGGACAGTTATCAATGAAATGACAAGCCTTATGGATGTTTTCCCAACAGTGGTTCACCTAGCTGGAGGGGCAGTGCCTCAGGACAGGTACAAAGGTGGCTTCATAAACCATATTTGCTCCTCTTTCTTGATTTGGACAGAAGCTGACTATATATGTCATGCATCCTAACAGCCACAGGTTAAATTCTGGTTTTCTTAACCAGGTAATTCTCTAACTTTCTTTCTGTGTAGCTTTCCCCATCTTGTCTGCTTATATGGAAAAGGCAAAGGAAAACAGTATGCTTTATCAAGGGTTGTTTAGCTAATTCAGTTTTCTAATCACTAAAAGGCATTCCGGTTGATGTGGGACACTGGGATGACTGTAAAAAAAACAAACCAAACCAAAAACCACAAACAAAACCCCCTCTTTTAATCTTACTCTTTATGAAAAATGCACAGATCACAAAGCAGATTGGTCCTGTTGGAATGCTTGGACAGGCCCTTTCCAAGACTAGGAAGCCAGGTTCTTCATGAGTAGGGAAGGTGGAGCAAACAGCACATGGCCTGCATTTGGCTGCCAGTACCTGAGAAGTTGCTTCCTCAATAGTAAACTATTTGTAGCATCTACATTAGACTCCTCTAAAGAACACAAGAAAGCGTGGGTGGCTCAGCCATTTGGGCAAAAAGCATAAAAGTACTGGAGGTGTGTAACTAAACCATTAGTCAATGCAGTAAGCGGCATATTTTTGTTTTGTTTTTACAAAGCCTCAAGCTCACAGAGCTATCAGTGACTTTGGTGACATCCATTTTGGGGAGCAAAATTAAAAGCTGTGAACCATGCCTTCACTATGGTTATCACTCCCAGGAAAATTATAGTAATGGTAATTTATCTCCCCAGGCAGGATGTGTGAACTAGCTGTAATTGCAAAAACTGCTAGTAACTGCTAATCATTGGTCTCCACCCATCCACACAATGAAAAATGTCAGGGCTCAATAGCTCAACAGTAGCTTGGTTTAGAAATGACACTTGAAATCTTTAATGCTGCATACGTGGAGAGCGAGTACTGCTCGCACTCCAGCTGCAGACTGAAATTTTTAAGCAGTCTGGTGACTCCGGTCCTCTCCATCAGGGTAATCGACGGGCGCACCTTGCTGCCTTTGCTGCAGGGGAGAGTTCAGCACTCCGGGCATGAGTTCATGTTTCACTACTGCGGTGTGTTTCTGCATGCAGTGCGGTGGCACCAAAAGGACAGTGAGTATAACCATCCCCCCTCCTGCAGATCAGATGATGTAATGACCTCTAGCTTCCAAGAGAGTATCACGTAAAAACATACGTATGTGTATCCGGAGTAAGTCTATTGTCTCAAACTCTCGGTTCTTCTGTAAGGTGCAGAAAGCCTTCGTTGTCAGCTGTCCTGCCTTGCCTTGAGATGAAGGGGTTTGCTTCCTGGGTAGCATAGCTTCAAGAAATTTCCCTGTCACTGCAGCATTTCTATTGCTTTTGCTGCAAAAGCATTCAGGATCAGCTTTAGTGCAAGATTGAAGAAAAGGAATTGCACACACAAGGTCTTTATCTTAAGCAGTAGTTCGTTTGTCTTCAATAGCCCTCTCATTTGTTTCTGTTTTTTAGCTGTGGCATTAGACAAGCTGACTGCAGCTGTAATGCTTTCCTGAGCTTTCAACAGGCACCCAATCTTTGCTGATGTCACCCTCCATTACAGTGTAAAAGAGAAACAGGCCAGTGACTGGTAGTTGTGTCCTTATTCCTGCTTGGACTTGGAATGGAGGATGGCATTTGTGTAACCAAACACAGGTGCCTGGGTCTGAGCTTGGTTTACAGTCACCAAAGAGATGCAGATGTTTACAGGGTGTGACTCACCACCTTCTGATTAGCACGTCTGGTCTAGATCAGTCATGCCTGTTTCTCTCCACTGACTAAAAAAGGAGCTGAGACCATATCAGATATAAAAATCACCCTTATATTAACTTGAAGTTAGTTGAGATGAACTGCAACTTCTGTGACTGGATTATGTGATGGTAAGTTGATGAATTCATGGGGATACTGTACTTGGGTTTTTTCGTTCTGCACGTGTGGAGAAATGCAGGAGCTGATGGAGTAGGCCATGCCTACTCATCTTCCCATCCTTCAGAAACTTGAATGACCACCTCTAATTTTTGTTTTGCTTTCCCTATCTGTGAAGTGAGAGAATTACAGAGTTCTTGAGACCTCAATTAGATAACAGTTACAAATGCTAGGGCATTCCACCATCAGCAGCTGTTCACACTCAGCTGGTACACTGACAAGGAGCTGGCTCTTCAAAGAGCACTTTGAGTGCTGACCATGGGGTGAGAGAACATTAGGCAGCCCAGCAGGAAATCCTTCTTACGCCACAGTGTTAACTGGGTGATCTTTCTTGTGCCTGTTTTTATTTCCTTTCTGATACAATGACAGTATCAAGTACAGATAGTATCAAGCCAAGAATCTACTTGCTCAGTGAACACTTGAAGACTACAAAACTTACCTGTGCTTGCAAATATTTCAAAATTGACTTCTCTGTTCCCCTAGATACACACAGAGAGGAAAGAATCAGGATAACGGCTGAGAACTTTGCTGTCTGTCTTGTTTGCAATGAATAAATACATACCACTGTTGCAACACCAAACTCTTAGTCATGCTGCCAGTTTAACCTTGAGATCAGGGCCCTTGTTGTCACGGCACGTTCAACAGAAGCAGGGCTCCTGCGCAGAAAGTCACTGCGCTCGGCTGACAGGAACCATGGAGGAAAGAGACTAAGGACTAAATGTGAGGAGATGATGCCAGGTGCTGTGGTGGTATTCTTAGGTTCTTGATCCCTATAGATAAATCTGGGTACTTCATTCAAGGAAAAACAAGTAAGCTATACAAGCCATACAGTACTTGAGGAGCTAATGCCTTCAGGGTGAGATCCAGATCACCCTGTGCAGTGCTCAAAGAGCTATATTGTAGAAAATGCTAAAGTACAAGGGTGTTTCATAAATCCAGCTCTTCCATGGAGTGGAGCACCTTCAAGTCCCCTAGGGAAGGTTTTGTTTTGTTTGGTTTTTTTTCTCTTGGGACTCCTCATTCTCTCTATCCTCTGGAGCAAAGATGCTGGTAACATTTTGTCCAAGAAATGGTGCTTGGCCCTGGTGTGAGCAGGCGGGCCTGGTCTCGGCAGCTCGGGGCCCTTGCTGCTTCCCCCTGGCTGGGGAGTTGGATGCCCTGATACCACCGCGGCTACGGAACGAGCTGATCCCAGGGTGGAAGCCACACTTGAAGCACGTGCTCCACGCCAACATGTTGGCTGTCTCAACTAATTATTTAATTCCTTTCTCCGTTTGGGCACAACCAAAACGTATCATCTCCGAGTGACATGTAAACCACCACTCTGCATCTTTGCTCTTCCTGGGCCCGTTGTCCCTCACGATTAGTTGAGCCCACCCCATGGCTTCACCCTTTCAGCACTCGGTTTTAGTTAGTTTTGGGTTATCTTCTCCCGCTGTTGCTGCCGCAGCGCCTCTTTTACTATGCCCATTAACGTCATCAAAACACGGAGGCGAACACTGGAGGGCTGCCCGGCGCGGCCCTGCCCTGGTGAGCGCCCGCTGCCGGCGGTGGGCCCCGCGGAGAAGCCCACCACGGCCGCCGGGCCGGGC